GCGGGAAAAGTAGGACTCAGTATCAACGCGGACAAGACGGACCTCATCCTCTTCACGAAGAGGTACAAGGTACCGGCATGGATGCCCCCAAAAATTGACAGAACCAGGCTTACCCCAAAAACACAAGTCAAATACCTCGGCATAGTACTGGACAGCAAGCTGACATGGAGACCCAATGTATTGGAAAGGGTGAAGAAGGCCATCATTGCGCTATATGCATCCAAGAAGATGCTTAGCAGCACATGGGGCCTATCACCTGCACTAATGCACTGGATCTACATTTCGGTAGTGCGACCGACTCTGCTGTATTGAGTGTACACTAAGGTGTGGGGGCAGGCTACAGAAAAGAAAACTTACAACAAGCTAATGGATAGAACTCAGCGGCAGGTACTGCTCTGCATCACTGGGGCGCTGAGGTCAACCCCAACAAAAGCACTCGAAACAATACTCGGAATTGATCCCCTGGACATTCACGCTCAACTGACTGCAGGTAAGGCAGCACAACGCCTAGTCGCATCAGGCAATATGTCACTGCAAGGATTCGGGCACAGATCAAACATGATCAGTATATCTGACTACATGATCCCCCGAACTAGATGGAGGGAGGAGTAGGTGCGGGCATATACTGACAGACCTTGAAATAAGGCTGTCCTATAAGCTTCCGAACAAATGCAGCATATTCCAGGCAGAAGTCTTTGCCATACGGAAAGCGGCGGAGGTTGCTCGATGTACGGAGCGCCCACATAATGTGGTCAACCTGTTCGTGGACAGCCAGGCGGCGATAAGATCCATGGAGTCGTCAGCGGTCAGTTCCAAAAATGACCTGGCAATCAGGGAGGCATTAGATTTCCTAAGCACGGCAAAGTCAGTGTGGTTCCCAGCCACCAGGGCATCGAAGGCAACGAGACAGCAGACGTGCTGGCTAAGGAAGGCGTCGGGCTGGCAAACGACAGGACTGAGAACGTGCCTGTCTCCCTCAGAACGCTTCAAAGCGATCTAAATGGGCGGGCACACATACAGGCCAGTAGCAGGTGGAGGAGAACCACCAAATGCAAGATCGCGAAAACCATGTACAAGGAGAGCAATGGTAAACTCAGCCACTACCTACTGCACCTACCACGGAAGGACTGTAGGATGCTAATGGGTTTACTCACAGGTCATTGCCTGGCTGCAGCACATGCAGTCAAATTAGGCATCACCAACAGTGGCAAGTGCAGGAAATGTGATGAATCTGGGGTTATCGAAACTCTGGAACATCTAATCTGCCAATCCCGGCCCTCATAAGGGCAAGAAACAAACATCTTGGCAGCCCGGTACTGGCATCGCTGGTAGATGAATCCAAGAGGACACCAGCGGAACTCCTTGCCTTTGCAAAATTCTCCTCGATCCTCACGGATTTCGAAACCGCGTAAAAACACTCAGAAGGTCCATACGCACCAATCCGGACAACTAAGGGCCATATTGGCCTATGCGTGGCCCCGTGAGGGCCGTCCGGGACAACCTAACCTAACCTTACATTCTTCTGTTATTTCATCACACTCTTGATCAATAACCTTAATGGTTATGCTGTTATTATTTTCATATATTTCTTTTTCTTTATTTATTTTCGTTGCACACGACTTGTCACGGTAATAAGAAAAACAAAAGTAAAGCAACGCTTCATTGCTGGATATTTTTTTTTTTTTGTATTCATACGTTTATTTCTTCTAGTCTAATTTCTTGCTTTTAATACTACAGTCTTACTATTGGGTATAATTAAGTGCAGGCCGTGTTTGGGAGTGGGCGCCCAACGCGCGCGGTACTGCCGTAAAGCATTGCTTCGCACGCTTGAAGGCTCCTACTCCGTCTCCTGCTTACGCCTTCTCTCCAAAACTCTCAGAGTTCGCATGACGCTAGAGGCGAACTCTGCGGCCGATTCCCATGCACTTGGCTCGGCCAGCATGATCGGCACCAAGGTCCCGGTAGCGATCCTGTCGCCTACTACCGCCTCCAGGCGGAGACGCTCGCGGTCAAACCTGTGGCATTCGAAGAGGACGTGCTGTGCGTCCTCCACTATGCCGGTGCCGCACGCCGGGCACCAGTCCGCCGTCTCAAGGCCAAAGCGCTTGAGGTAGCTGCGAAAGCAGCCGTGTCCACTAAGCGCCTGGGTGAGATAAAAATCTACCTGGCCGTGCTTCCTCTCGATCCAGTCTTGCAGCTTCGGGATGAGGGAATGTGTCCAGCGCCCCTTGGTTGAGCTGTCCCACTGGGTCTGCCATCTACTGATGCTGTTCCTCCTTGCGGTAGCCTTCAGCTCGGCTCTTGTCGCCTCGCTTCCGCCCTGCGTGGCCGTATGGACATCCCTTCTCTCCCTTATCAGCTCCCTGAGTGGGACTTGACCGGCTATGACCAGCGCTGCTTCGTCCGACACAGTCCGGAACGAGCACGCGATCCTTAAGGCACACAGCCTGTACGTCGCCTCCACGCCTCGCATGTAGGTTTTCACCTGAGCGGCTTTCGCCCACGCGGGCGCAGCGTACAGGATCTGCGACGTCACCACGCTCGTCAGGAGTTTCCGCGTTGCATGCTTCGGGCCTCTGGTGTTGAGAAGCATTCGCGAGAGCGCTCCTGCGGTTCCGCCGGCCTTCCTCTGCACGTACTCCAAGTGCTCCTTGAAGGAGAGGCGAGTGTCGATGAGCACCCCGAGGTACTTGATTGACCTCTGCGAGCGTATCGTGGTGCCACCGACCTGCACACTTGCTGTTTCTACAGCTTTCCGGCTCGATATGAGCACCGCCTCAGTCTTCTGTGCTGCCAGGTCCAATCCGGCGACCGTAAGCCACGACTCCACGGCTCGGACGGCCGCGTTGGCGAGTTCCTCCACTGCGGCGAGGTGCTTGGCCACCACCTCTATGGCGACGTCGTCCGCAAATCCCACCATGCTGGTGTTGGCTGGCAACGGTAGTCTTAGGACTCCGTCGTACATGGCGTTCCAGAGCAGGGGTCCCAAAACGGAGCCCTGAGGGACTCCGGCTGAGACTTTGTATGCCCTGGAACCCAGACTGGTCTCGTACGTCAGCACCCTGTCGCTGAAGTAGCTACGTGCTATCCTCTGCAGGTATCCAGGGATGCTGAAGCGCTGTAGGGCCTCTAGCGTGCGGCTCCAATCGGCCGAGTTGAACGCGTTCCTTATGTCGAGTGTCACCACGAGACAGTAGGATTTGGATCCTCCTCTCCATCTGGTACCAGCGCAGGCTTCCTCTGCCGTTTTAACCACCTTGGAGATGGCGTCCAGCGTCGACTTCCCCTTCCTGAACCCGTATTGCTCCGGGTAGAGGCCGCCTGCTGCCTCGATGGCTGCACTCAGCCTCGTGGCAATCACCTTCTCGAACACCTTCCCTATCGTGTCCAGGAGGCAGATGGGCCTGTAGGAGGACGCCTCGCCCGGCGGCTTCCCCTGCTTGGACAGCAAAAAGAGCCGTTGCCTCTTCCACCTCGATGGGAACGTACCCTCGTGGCGGCATCTGTTGAACAGACCCGTAACCTCGCTTGGGATCAGCGCTAGTGCCAGCTTCGTCGCACGGTTAGGGATCGCGTCCGGCCCCGGTGCCTTCTTGGGGTTCAGGTCTCTGCCTGCCTGCAGCACCTCTTCCTCCGTGACCTCGCAGATGTCGTCCAGGCTGTGCTCGGGGGTCCGGGATGTTGTTATGGGCCGCCCCTGCGGGAACAAGGTCCCAACGATCCCATCCAACACTACTGGGTCCGTTGGGGCTCTGCTTCCGGCGTTGATGTTTTTGACCACCATCTTGTAGGCGCCTCCCCAGGGGTCCTCCTCGGCGGCGTCGCACAGCTTGAGGAAGCATTCTCTCTTGCTGTCTCTAATGGCGGTCTTCAACTCCTTCCGCGCGACTTTGTATGCCTCGCAACAGGTTACTAGTCGCGGAGTTCCCCTGGCTCGTTGGAGCTGTCTTCTCGCGCCATGGCAGATTTTGCGGAGCTCGGCGATGCCCTCGTTCCACCAGAAGACTGGGGCATGGTGCTTCCCAAACGCACTTCACTGGAGCATGCTCAGGTCGCAGGCCGCTTCCACTGCCTCCCCCAGCTGGGTCGCCCACTCGTTGGCTCCGTCTGACTCTGATGCCGTGTAGGTCCGGAGGGCGCTTGTAAACGCCTGTGTCCTCAGCGTGGCCTGCCGATACGCCTTCCTTTGCTGAGTAGGAGCTGCTCTTACCCGATCCGGTCCGCCAAACACGCACTCGATGGCCTCGTGGTCGCTAGCAGTGTAGGCGTCGCTGATTCTCCAACTGGAGTTTCTGGCCAACGCGCTGCTGGCGTATGTGAGGTCGATGACTGACCCCATGCCTCCCCTGCTGAACGTTTGTTGGGATCCTTCGTTGAGCAGCACCATGTCCAAGGTAGCGAAGGCCTCCAGCACCGTGCGTCCTCTAGCGTTGGTTAGGGAGGACCCCCACTCCTGGGCCCAGGCATTGAAGTCGCCCCCGACTACGACGTCGCTTCGTCCTCGCAGGTCTCCGATCAGCTCGTCGATGATTCGGCTGAAGGTCTCCAGCGGGAGGCTGGGCGCCAGGTAGCAGCTATAGACCCACTTACCGCCTACTTTGCCTCGGACGAACCCATCGGCCGACTTTATGTCGCAGATCTGGGGCGTCTCCACTCCGCATGTCCACAACGCAGCTCTGCCCGAGCGATCTGTGGCCCAGTCGCTGCAGCTGGGAACCCTATAGGGCTCGCTGAGGATTGCCACCTCCGATCCCCGCTCACGCACCGTCTGTTGCAAGAGGTCCTGCGCGGCCCTGCAGTGGTTCAGGTTGAGCTGGATCAACCGCATGTGATGCTGCGTTGACCGACCCCGCTGAACGCTGCCGGGCAGCTTTTGCTGCCGGCCTGGTGCCTGGACTCCTTCTTGCCCGCTGCCGAGCAAATGAAGCATAATGGCTCCTTTTTGCAGTCAACGGCTTTGTGCCCCTGCTCGCCGCATTTGATGCAGCAGCCGCTGCTGTCTATTGCACTCCTGAAGCTGCTCGCGATGTGCCCAGGTTCCAGGCATTTGTAGCACCTCGGGAGTCCTCCTCTTTTTTTTTTATTGTCTGGACGTTGATATGCAATGACTGCACCATCAAGTGGCCCATGCGACACCAAGCCGAAGCCTGTTACGCGCGGAACCCAGGCAGAAACGCAGCCCTCCTCCCGCCCAACCGACCGAGGGGCGCTGCCGCATGACGCGCGACGCGTGTTACCGAACCGATCGCGAGCATGCAGGAAAGATAGGTGTTAGACTAAAATTCGAGGAAAATTAGAGCTAAACACAACTCAAAGAGCTAAGCATGCAAAGATAGCTAAAAAATATAACTAATTACGGGAAAGGTATGTTAGTATTAGTGATATAAGAAGAGGAAGGGAATTAGTAGTTGATATTATGTGGTAAAGGGAATTGAAGTCCGAGCAAAGTACCCTAAATGGTTCGTGCAAGGAATAATTCGATCTACAAAGCGGAAGGAAAAGAGGAATGAAGTTTCTAGTAGATCTAATAGGAATCGTAAAGTTTATGCGGCTCAACAAGTCAGGGCTATCTACATCACCCTTGATCAGGTTGTGCATAAAACTCACACCAAGCATTTTTCTACGACTAACTAAGGTTGGAAGGTTTATTAAAAGCAATCTACGAGGATAAGATGGCAGTCTCACACCTGCATCCCAGTTAAGGCCACGCAGAGCAAAAAGTAAAAAGTTTTTCTGGACTGATTCTATACGGTCCTGGTGTACTTTGTACTGGGGGCACCATACACAAGAGCCGTATTCTAAAATCGGACGAACAAGCGAGATATAGAGAGTCTTCGTTATATAGGGGTCGTCAAATTCCTTTGACCACCTCTTTATAAACCCAAGCACACCCATGGCCTTATTTACCCATGGTAGAAATGTGTTCAGAAAACTTCAACTTTGGGTCTAATTTAACACCAAGATCATCAACCAAGGTAATTCTCTCAAGAGAACCACCGCAGAGGCTATAAGGAGCCAATAGGGGGCTGGAGCGATGAAATGTCATTACTTTGCATTTCGAGGCATTTAGGTGTAACATATTTGCACAACACCATGATTGAAAGTTATTGAGATCGGATTGCAAGCGAGAGTGAAATGAAATGTCCTTATACTGGACACAAAGTTTAACATCATCCGCATACATGAGTACTCGAGAGTTTGTTAATACTGAAGGCAGATCATTAATAAAGAGTGTGAATAGTAGGGGGCCTAGATGGCTGCCCTGTGGTACTCCAGAAGTAACCTTAACAGGTGAAGAGAAGGAGTTTTTGAAGAGGACTCTTTGAGACCTAGAACAAAGGTGGCTAGAAATCCATCTCAAGAGATTAGGCGGAAACCCTAAAAGGTCAAGTTTTTGTGCTAAAAGGGAATGGTTTAAAGAATCAAATGCTTTACTAAAATCAGTGTAAATGACATCCGTCTGCAAGTTACCTTGAAAGCCTTTAATGATAAAAGAGGTAAACTCTAATAAATTTGTGGTTGTTGATCGTCGCCTTATAAATCCGTGCTGGGACGGAGATATAAGTGATTTGCAGAGATGTTGCAAGTGCGGAGTTTCGCGGATCCTGCAAACGGTCCAGCCGATCCGCACCTGTCCCCGCTGCATTACTGCTTTGCCCAGGGAAAAAGGCAAGCTGACCACCTCCGTTTGGGACTCCGCGTAGCCGCGTCGCAGGCTTCGCACCCTGACTCGTCCCTCCTCAATCCCGAACTGGCTCGCGATGGCGGTACAGATCTCACGCTCTGTCGCGAGGGAGTCGAGATCGCGGATATCCAAGACGACCACCTTCGAGTCCTCTGTCAGTGCACGCACTGCCGCTGCGTCGCCAAGTACGCGTGCGATGCTCTCTCTCATGGCCTCTGCGATCTCTGAGCTGCCTTTTGCCACCTCCAGCAAAAGGTTGCCGTTGATGGTGCGGCGTACCCTGGAAACGCAGCTTCCCAGGTCCGACAGCTGGTTATCCTCCCTCCTGGTCACCATGGCCAGCACCTCGCTATACGTCTTGCCGCCCGCATGCACTACGACCGCGTCAGGGCGTGCGCGGTGCGCTGTCCTCGCCTTCTTGGCCACTAAACTCCACCCGCTTTCACGGTTTCCGAGGCTCTCTTGTTGGCTGGGGGCATTGTGCGTCGCCTTCTCCTCGTGTGGCTTTATCTGGGCCTTCTTCTGTTTCTTCAAGGGTGCGCCTTTGTGACCTGCTGGGCGCATAAGCGTTGGAGCCTGCCCCCCAGCGGGGCCATCCGACACAACAGGCTGGCTAAGCCTTCGCCACGGCTCGGTTTGCGATGCGGCATCCGTCTTCATTGCTGGATATAGATGTGTATGTGTGTGTATTTAGTACATCATATATATAGCTGAATGGTTGTATGTATATGTGTCTGCTGCGTTTGTTTTTGTGTTAAGCCTAGTACTCAGATCCAAAAAAAAACACCTCGCGAACAGAATCAGGGTTGATATTCGTATGAAACCGATAAGAAATTTTTACGGGCAAAAACTGTGTTGAGCTATTGAGATTTTTCAATAGCGTAGAGTTAAATCGACAATTTGTACTTTGATTAATACACAACACAGTTTGTTTGATTATGTTAGTTTCTTTATTTTCCATGCAAGGCGAGTGGGAGTAGAATGGGCAAGAGTTAGCAACAGGCGGACCCGTGGTGGACCGTGTTGCAGCGAAAACAATAATGGGTTTTTGTATAAAGGTTAATAACAATGTAGCAGGTCACTGTGCCAACCGACGATATGTTGTACGTTTTATGATGCTAGATTTCGAAGTGTCTCTGCTGCGCAGACGAGCCTCCCTCACAGCCTTCGTCGGCTGACGATTTTCGGGAGGGGGAAAATGACTCAAGAGCGCAGAGTCAGGTAGGCAATGTTGTGAGCTTAGCTCTGCTCTCTTTGCGCTGCCATGGGCCGGCGCTTAGCCGAACATTCTCCCCCCGTTGAAGAGCACGGGTCTTCGACATCATTCTTTGGCAGCATACACAGCTTTGCGATAGCCCTCGTGGTGCTCCCAGTAGCCGTTTTGAGCTCAGCTACCCTGGAAACGCCATCTCTGCCGGCGATCAGTTTCGTCACCCTTCCCAGCGGCCACTTAAGTGGAGGCAAGTTCTCGTTCTTTACGAGGACCACGTCGCCGACGCTGAGGTTAGGCTGCTCAGTCCTCCATTTTGCCCTCTCCTGCAGAAGCGTGAGGTACTCCTCTCGCCAGCGGGACCAGAAAGTCTGCTGCAGGAAGCTGACCTGCTGCCAGCGATCAAGACGATTGAAGTTGAGTCCGGTCACATCTGGTTCCGCGAAGGTACGGATTGGAGCAGTACCTAAGAAATGCGCAGGTGTTAGCATGTCTAAATCGTCAGGATGCTCTGAAATGGGAAGCAATGGCCTTGAGTTTATTATGGCAGTGATATGGCACACAAGCGTTCTCAGGTCATCAAAGCACAGCAAGGAGCTGGAAGCGGAACGGTAGAAATGATGCTTGGCTGTTTTAACCGCAGCCTCCCAGAGTCCGCCAAAGTGGGGAGAGCGAGGGGGAATAAACCGCCAGTCAATATGATCCGCAACGCAAAACTCCTGAACTTCCTTCATATGCCTTTCTGCCAGGAACAGCTTCTTCAACTCTGCCAACTCGTTCTTTGCTCCCACAAAGTTGGTTGCGTTATCGGACCAAATTTCCCTGGGCCGACCGCGAGTTAAAATGAATCGCTTTAGTGCGCTTATGAACGCTGGCGTCGATAGATCCTGCACAAGCTCCAAGTGAACGGCCTTGGTGGCAAAGCATATGAAGAGGCATATGTAGCATTTGATGGGTGGTCTGGTCCGCACCTCACTCTTATAAAAGAACGGACCACAAAAATCCACACCGGTGACTGCAAAAACGTACGACGCATTCACACGATCCTTCGGCAAGTCGGCCATAATATGCTGCAGCAGGCGCGGCTTGGCCTTAAAACATCTGGTGCAGCGATTTACGACGCTGGCCACTGTCTTGCGCCCTCCAATCGGCCAATACTCATGCCGAATAAGTGCGAGCAATGACCGAGGCCCAGCGTGCAGATTCTGCTCATGGACATGCACAATTACAGCAGATGTAACGGGATGACGCCTTGGAAGAATGACTGGGTGCCGTGCGTTGAAATCAAGTGATGAATTTTCCAACCGCCCACCGACGCGTAACAAGCCATGGTCATCCAGGAACGGCGCGAGTGACGAGATGGAGCTAGACGACTGCACCTGCTGTTCGTCACGCAGAGTCTTGTAGTCAGGCCACAAATGCACTCGCTGAATCGAACGAAGAAGTATCCGCGTACCACCAACGATGTCAGCTACTGTTAATCCGGACGACCTTTTGCGCTGCAGAAACTTGAATACATATCCAAATGTGCGCTGGATCTTTCCGAAGGAATTGGAGAACTTTCGGCCGTCAGATAAGTCTACGAATGGACAAACTGCAATCAGGACTCTCTTGCGCAACTCCAGTGTTGGCGCAGATTGAATAGACGCTGCTGGCCACAGAGGTTGCTCATCTTGAAGAAAGGGTGGCCCGTGGGCCCAAAGATGCGATTCCAGAAGCTCTGACGGCGAAGCGCCTCTGGACAATATGTCAGCAGGGTTCTGGGCGGTGGGCACGTAGCGCCACTCCATCTGAGCAGTCCGCTCCTGAATGGCTGAGACCCGATTTGCAACGAATACGTTAAAGCTTGATGAGTCATGGCGCACCCAAGACAAGGCAGTTGTGGAGTCCGACCAGCAATAGAAGCTTCCAGTGAACAATTTAAGTTTCTGTATCTCACTGATCAATTGAGAAAGCAAGTCAGCGCCACATAACTCCAACTTGGGCACCGTCAATACCTTAAGAGGGGCGACACGAGACTTCGCACACAGAAGTTGCACGTGCGCGCGATTATTTGTCCTTGACACAACGTAAATACATGCTCCATAGGCATCTAGGCTGGCGTCACAAAACCCGTGAACTTCCACTGTTGAATTGGGGAGAACTGACAGACGAGGAAATCTAAACAGTTGAGGGGTGGACAAACTCTCGCAGAAAATGGTCCACGCTGATGAAAGAGACTCTGGCAGACTCTCATCCCATTGGAGCTGCTCCTTCCATACCAACTGAAGGAAAATCTTTGCCTTTGCGATGACAGGCCCAATCAGTCCTAAAGGATCATAAAAACGAGCAATCGTTGACAACATTGAACGTTTCGTCGGCTTTGATGGCAGCTGCGTGGGTACTACCGAAAAGAGAAAATTATCAGATGAAGGCTCCCAAACCAATCCAAGAGCCTTTGTGAAGTCGGTGCCATCGTCGAACCTTAGCAGCGTTTCCTTATCCTTGTCAGGAATTCCCTCAAGTACGCCAGGGACGTTGGAGCACCATTTCCGAATTGGGAACCTTCCCCGAGCCAATAACTGGGATGTCTGCCTCATCTTTTCGCGCACTTCCTCTACAGATCCTCCTCCAGTCATCAAATCGTCGACATAGAAGTTGGAGGTCAACACTTCCGAGCCAATGGGAAATGCAGCCCTCTCTTCTTCTGCCAATTGGAGCATGGAACGAATTGCAAGATAGGAAGCCGGTTTGGTTCCATATGTTACTGTGTCGAGCTTGAACGCCTTCACATCCTCGTGAGGGGAATCCCTCCATAAGATGCACTGCAGGTAATTGTCCGGCTCAGATACTCGGACACACCTGTACATCTTGCAAATGTCACCAGTCAGCGCAATGAGGAACGTACGAAAACGAAGCAGCGTATGTAGCAGCTTTGGCTGGATAGTAGGCCCCGCCATTAGGACCTCGTTTAACGAAAAACCTGTTGATGTTGTGGCAGATCCATCGAACACAACCCGCAATTTGGTGGTCGTGCTGTCCTCCTTAAACACGCAATGATGCGGTAGAAAATAGCGACAACGACTGAGCAGTTCTGATTCCACCAACGACATATGATTAAGCTCTTGGTACTCCCTAATGAAAGATGCGTACTGAGCCTTCAGCTGCGGACGACGCTCAAGTTTCCGCTCCAAGTTGAGGAACCGCCGATATGCTTGCGTGTATGAGTCGCCCAAGATATCCAAACTTTTCTTGATGGGCAGCTTCACGGCAAACTCTCCAGATGACAGGCGCGAGAAATTTGCTTTGAAGTGATCTTCACAATCGACATCCTCCTGCTTGACCATTACCGAATCTTCAGTGGAACTTTCAACCTCCCAGAAACGCCTCAGTAACAGTTCCACTTGATCAAGAGACTCCTGCCTGGCGTCAGATGAGGCCTGAGCCCCAAGTAAGGCTGTCCTACGCGTTTGCTGACCACCTCCTGAAACCACCCATCCAAGGCGAGTCTTCTGAAGCGATGGCAAGCCAACATCCAATTTGATTTGGCCAATGCACAGCAGCTCGAAGAATAGGCTAGCCCCAATGAGCAGGTCAATACGCTGTGGCCTGAAGAACTGCGGATCTGCCAATGGTAAATTCGGCGGAATTTTCCAACCAGAAACGTCAACTGAAAAGCTGGGCTGCTGCTCGGTGATTGTGGGAGCTACCAACGCGACGAAACTGGTACTGTAGTCAGAGGCTTGGGACTGCAAGTTGAGTCCCACAGTATAGCCCTCCGATACAAAACTGGAATCCCCAAGACCCGATACTGCGGCCGACGACATGGTCCTTTTCAGTCTAAGTTGTTGGGCGAGGCTGGAGGTTATAAGGTGCATTTGTGATCCGGAGTCCAAGAGTGCCCGACATGGTACGAGCGATCCAGCACGATCCCTCAGCAGAACAACTGCAGTGGCTAAGAGCACAACATCCCTGCAAGAGTTCTGTGCAACCAGAGAGGCAGCTGAGGACTGTGGCTGCGCTTCAGGGTGCGGGAATGAAGAGACAACGGGTTCCGTGGGCGAGGGTCTGGCGTTTAAATGCAATAAGGTGTGATGTTTGCTACCACAGTGACGACAAGTTGATGACCTGCAAGTGCGCAATTGATGGCCAGCCTTCAGGCAATTCAGGCAAAGACCAAGCTTTTTCACCTCAATTAGGCGAAGGGACGGCGAAAGATTCCCAAACAGCGCGCATGTATATATGCTATGGCCAGCAGTATTGCAAAATAGACACTCAAGAGAAACAGACTCAGTGGCTACAAATGAACTTCTAGGGTTGCTCTGTACTTTTTTTATCTTTCCCACCTGAATGCCAGGCGTATACATTGCCATAGCGTGCTCCCGATTCTCCAACTTCTGACATCTTTGCTCCAGAAAAGCGGTGAATTGTTGGCTTGTGGGTATGCTGTCCAGCGATGACGTTTCCTCCCACTTGGCTTGCGTAGCGCTGTCCACCTTCTGCAGCAGGCTGTGTATCAAGATACAGTCTGCAATCTGCTCCGTTGTTCCCATACTCTGCAAAGCCCGAAGATTAGAATTCACAGTGTCCGACAAAGACCGAAGTTGCGACACAGACGAAGCCTCTACGCGCGGAACACCCAGAATGTCCGTGACATGCGCCTGAAAAATTAAACGTTTGTTATTAAAACGCTTATCAAGGAGGTCTAGCGCGATGGGATAGCTGGCGTGCGTGAACTCTAGAGACGAAATAGTGTCTAGTGCTGGTCCTTTCAGGCAGGAACGCAGGTGCTGCAGCTTCTCCACATTTGACAAATCGGTATCCTTGTCTATTATGGAGGAAAACATGCTCCAAAACGAGGAATACTGAGCGTAGCCACCACTGAACTCAGGAAGCTTCAACTCCGGCAGGCGTGGCCGACTTTGCACAACGACCGTAGTTGGGGCCTCTCCTACATGGTCCGTCCGCATTGTTGAGCATGGTAGCATTGTGGGCTGCCGCTTGTTTAACTCCCGTTTCATGCGAATCTCCAGCATGACCACGCACTCGTCAAACTCCTCCCTCAAGGGACTACCGATCTCATCGAGATCAATCCTCTCCAGGGCATTATGGTGCTCGTTGAATGAAACTACAAGCTCCGCTAGCAATTTCAGCCTCACGTTCAGCTCCTCCTCACTGAGCTCGCCAATTCTCTCCTTGCCAACGGCCGTTTCGATTCTCCGTGCTGCCCCTACCATGGATTGCACCTTGCGCTTGTAGAATGCAGCTTCCGAATCGACGAACAATGGTGAGGGGGGCAAGAGTGAGGGGGTGCTATTAGAAGCCATTGGGTAGGTTTACGACGCACTGGGTTACAGTTTCTGAAGCACGGAGAGGTTAATAACCGGTGAATAACCTCGAACAGTTTGATAGGAACTGCACACTCGATCGCAGCGCTCAAACACACGGGCTCACAGTTCTACAGGCCAGCAGCGAAAGTTCACAGTTTTAAAAGAACTGAGTAGGTGCAGCTGACAACAACAATGGCATGCACACTTAGAGCACCGAAAACCGAAACGAAACAACCGCAAGACAAACCGCAAAGCAGATGACGCGAGAACCGTTTATGTTGCTTGTGCAGTGCACAGACGCCGAATCGAAAAACCGTGGTACAAAGCGAATTAAACAACCGACAAGTGTTATTTGCAAGGCATATATATGTGTATATATATAAATATATATCGATTAGATCACGTCGGGGTCACCAAAATGTTGAGCTATTGAGATTTTTCAATAGCGTAGAGTTAAATCGACAATTTGTACTTTGATTAATTCACAACACAGTTTGTTTGATTATGTTAGTTTCTTTATTTTCCATGCAAGGCGAGTGGGAGTAGAATGGGCAAGAGTTAGCAACAGGCGGACCCGTGGTGGACCGTGTTGCAGCGAAAACAATAATGGGTTTTTGTATAAAGGTTAATAACAATGTAGCAGGTCACTGTGCCAACCGACGATATGTTGTACGTTTTATGATGCTAGATTTCGAAGTGTCTCTGCTGCGCAGACGAGCCTCCCTCACAGCCTTCGTCGGCTGACGATTTTCGGGAGGGGGAAAATGACTCAAGAGCGCAGAGTCAGGTAGGCAATGTTGTGAGCTTAGCTCTGCTCTCTTTGCGCTGCCATGGGCGCGCGGCCGAACCAAACTGTTTTCCTGCACGGAAGGAGTCAGACAACCAAAAAAAGAAATCGGTATATAGTAGAAAAGTATGCGAATGTATTTGCTGATATTGCTGGTATATTTCAACCCGCTCGAAACTTATATCAATTTTATATATTTTGCCAGCAAACACGAAGCAAACATTGCAATATGAGAACAAAAAACCAAATGAAATATTTTAATAATGAAGACAAATAGAATATAATTAATGCAGCATTATATGAATGACAATTATATGGAATTATAATATATTATAATTTTTTTTTATTAATTTTCATAAATAAAAAAAAAAATTTTTTTCGGCACGGGAGGCGTCGCCATCTGCTACTGCTGATAGTCAGACACATAACCCTGCGAATAAAATATTGGGGAGCCCAGGATATTTATTTATTTATATCAATTAACAATTATCTGCTAATTATGGAATAGGAATAAACAAGAAAAAAAAAAACAAACTAATTATATATGTACAAGACAGAAAGGAAAGATACAATTTACACATTTTCTAAACTAAGGTAATGATAAATGTTAAATATAATTTGTTCAAGGGATAATTCGGGGATATTAAATGGTACAAGTAATTATAATTATTGCATAAAACCCGGAAAGGTTCATGCTGGGAGGTAATTAGATCTACATATGGATAATCGGATGGGGCGGAAGGTACGGGTTGGTCTGGAGGGAACCGAAAAATCGATTCGTCCCAAAATCGTTTGGGAGTTCACAATCCCGAGAATGAGCTTATGCATGAATACCACGCCATTGCAAATTCTGCGATGGTGTAAAGAGGGTAGGTTCAGTAGTTTTAGCCTAGATAGGTATGGTGGAAGGAGTCTGTTAGAGTCCCAGTTTAGATGTCTAAGGGCGAATATTAAAAATTGTTTTTGAACGGATTCAATAATAATTTGTTGCTCCTTGTATTGTGGACTCCACACACAAGAACAATACTCCAATATCGTTATATACGGATCATCATCTTTTGACCAACGCTTAATAAACGCTAGAACTCCCTTAGCTTTGTTAACAGTTGAAGCAATATGGATATTAAAACATAGCTTGTGATCGAAAAGGACTCCTAAGTCATTTGATGTGGAGATTCGATCCAGAACATGGTGTCCTAGAGAATAGGAGACCAAATGTGGTGCACGGCGGTGAAAAGTCATAAGTTTGCACTTAGAATGGTTCAAGAAAAGTAGGTTATTTGAACACCAAATGCTTAATTCATCAAGGTCAAGTTGCAGGCGAGTATGCAAGTACCAGTCGGAGAAGGAAAAAAAAATCTTAACGTCATCAGCATACATTAAAGTAACTGAGTGCAAAATAACTTGGGGCAGGTCGTTCACAAACAAATTGTAAAGAAGCTGACCTAAATGACTTCCTTGAGGAACTCCAGAGGTTACTTTGACAACATTCGACAAGACATTGTTAAACAACACACGCTGTGTGCGATTCGACAAGTACGATGATATCCAATTTACAAGATTTGTGGGAACACCTAATAAAGAGAGTTTATGGATCAGTAAAGTATGATTAACAGAATCAAAAGCTTTACTGAAATCTGTAAAAATGACGTCAGTCTGCAAGCCACTTTGAAATCCTATGTTGATTAGAGACGAGAATTCTAAAAGGTTAGTAGATGTTGATCGATGTCTAAAAAACCATGTTGCGTCGGGGATATAATACTAGAACATGCGTGTTGCAATTGACGAGTAACAAGGTGCTCGAGCAGCTTCGGAATGGCAGATAGTTTAGCAATACCACGATAATTTTCGATATTAGATCTGGACCCTTTCTTGTGAAGAGGAATAAGGTAGGATTCATTCCAGATCATGGGGAGGCGAGAATGCTCCAGGGATAAATTAAATAAGAATGTCAAAGGATGAGATAGGACTTTTTTGTTTTTGTAAACATTTCTGAAATAAAGACTGATATTATTGAAATTCAAACAACATAAGCAAATATAAGCTAAATAAGCAACTATTTTCTGATTTGGGCGACTTTTAAAAGTTGTAAAAATTTGGTTATTAAGGCAAAAATATATCTTTATTTTTTGTCTGATTGGTTGACTTTGAAACTTGTTTATAAAAAGGTTTTTTATAAAGACTGATACTATTGAAATTCGAACAATATAAGCAAAAATAATCGAAATAGGCCATTCTTGTCTGTTTTAGGTGACTTTAGAAAGTTGTTGTAAAAATGTTTTTTTATAAAGACTGATATTATTGAAATTCGAACAATATAAGCAAAAATAATCGAAATATGCAATTCTTGTCTGTTTTAGGGGTCTTTAGAAAGTTGTTGTAAAAATGTCTGAAATAAAGACTGATAGTATTGAAATTCGAACAATATAATCAAATATAAGCTAGATAAGCATTTATTTTCTGATTTGGGCGACATTTAAAAGTTGTAAAAATAGTATTATTAAGCAAAAATATGCATTTTTTGTCTGCGTGGGTGACTTTGAAACTTGTTTGTAAAAATGTTTTTTATAAAGACTGATATTATTGAAATTCGAACAATATAAGCAAAAATAATCGAAATAGGCAATTCTTGTCTGTTTTAGGTGTCTTTAGAAAGTTGTTGTAAAAATGTCTGAAATAAAGACTGATACTATTGAAATTCGAACAATATAAGCAAAAATAATCGAAATAGGCAATTCTTGTCTGTTTTAGGGGTCTTTATAAAGTTGTTGTAAAAATGTCTGAAATAAAGACTGATACTATTGAAATTCGAACAATATAAGCAAAAATAATCGAAATAGGCAATTCTTGTCTGTTTTAGGGGTCTTTATAAAGTTGTTGTAAAAATGTCTGAAATAAATACTGATATTATTGAAATTCGAACAATATAAGCAAAAATAATCGAAATATGCAATTCTTGTCTGTTTTAGGTGACTTTAGAAAGTTTTTGTAAAACTGTCTGAAATAAAGACTAATATTATTGGAATTCGAACAATATAAGCAAATATAAGCTAAATAAGCAATTATTTTCTGACTTGGGCGACTTTTAAAAGTTGTAAAAATTTGGTTAAGGCAAAAATATGAATTTTTTGTCTGATTGGTTGACTTTGAAACTTGTTTATAAAAAGGTTTTTTATAAAGACTGATAATATTGAAATTCGAACAATATAAGCAAAAATAATCGAAATAGGCCATTCTTGTCTGTTTTAGGTGACTTTAGAAAGTTGTTGTAAAAATGTTTTTTTATAAAGACTGATATTATTGAAATTCGAACAATATAAGCAAAAATAATCGAAATAGGCAATTCTTGTCTGTTTTATGGGTCTTTAGAAAGTTGTTGTAAAAATGTCTGAAATAAAGACTGATAGTATTGAAATTCGAACAATATAAGCAAATATGAGCTAAATAAGCAACTATTTTCAGATTTGGCGACTGATATTATTGAAATTCGAACAATATAAGCAAAAATAATCGAAATAGGCAATTCTTGTCTGTTTTAGGTGTCTTTAGAAAGTTGTTGTAAAAATGTCTGAAATAAAGACTGATACTATTGAAATTCGAACAATATAAGCAAAAATAATCGAAATAGGCAATTCTTGTCTGTTTTAGGGGTCTTTATAAAGTTGTTGTAAAAATGTCTGAAATAAAGACTGATAGTATTGAAATTCGAACAATATAAGCAAATATAATC